TTTTCTTCTTCCGAATAATAGGAACACTACATTTGGCCTTTTAAATGCTTGGCCAAACATGTTACTCCATCCGTTCACTTTTATTTGGCATGTATACTAAAAATAGATTTTTATTTTTACTTGTCACTTTACGCATATCAAGAAAAGATAATTTTTTTTAATTATACCCACAATATTTATTATTTCAAATTATTTTCTCAAATTTAATAAAATATGCATCAATTAATATGAGTATCATGTTAAATTATGTACTTTATTTATTATTTCTTAAATGACGTGAAAAGTCAAAACGTGCTAATTAAAAGTGAACAGAGAGATTATTTAAGTAAGATCATAAATTTAAAATTATTTCTAATAACTATATCTAAATTATACTTATATATCAAAGGTCATTATTTACTTTTTTTTTTAAATTTTTAAAAGGAAACAAAGAGAATACTTAATAAATCTGATAGTCCAGAAGGTTCTGAATTACTTGGCAATAGAAGAGTCTAGAAACCCAATACACATCGATATAAACACCCTGCTCCTTCACCAATCTCTCTATCTTTGCTTATTCTACTGTTCTCTCGCCTTCCTCAACCCTAATTTCTCTCCGCTTTGCTTTCTACAATCGTTGACGTAGCAGCGGCATCGCTAGATCGCAATGGCGGACACAGAGACCTTTGCTTTTCAGGCTGAAATTAACCAGCTTTTGAGTCTTATTATCAACACGTTCTACAGCAACAAGGAGATTTTTCTCCGGGAACTTATTAGCAATTCTTCTGATGTAAGTCAATTCTCTTTTTGATATTCCATGTGAATTTGTAATTGCATTGTCTATTTAACGCGATAAGCTCTGTATATTTGATTTTGCTCATATATTAGATGCTTGTTTGTTTGATGATTTGAGTTTTTTAATAATGATTCTGAGCATTTGTTTTTTGATGATTTGAGTTTTTTTCCGTACTCTGATAACTAGATCGTATATTTTAGGTTCTGTTTGATGATTTAATTTTTTTTTTAATTTATGATTTCAGTTTTTCTTTGATTATTTGAACTATGTTTAATTTATGATTTGAGATTTTTCCCTACTCTGATAACTAGATCGTTTGGTAGTTTAGGTTCTGTTTGATGATTTGAGTCCTTATTTATTTATGATTTCAGTTTTTCTTTGATGATTTGAGCTTTTCAAATTTATGATTTTAGGTTTTTTTCTAAATGATTTGAGTTTTTTTCCCGTATTCTGATAACTAGAGCTTTTGACAATTTAGGTTCTGTTTGATGATTTGAGCCTTTTTTATAAATTAAATCACACAATTGCCTTGGTCTTAAAAAGAACAGGTTGATAAGTGCTTGATATCTATCTGTATTTGGAGTTACGTTGTCTTTTTGTACATTGAGAATTGTTTGTGAACGCTCCCTATAGTTGATTCTGCTCTTATATTAAATGCAATGATTTTTTCTGACTTAATGTTAGTTGTTTGATTGCGGATGCCTCTATAATTGATTCTGATCATATATAAGGTGCATGATTTTATCTTTTTTTTTTGTTTGTAATTTAATGTTCAAGTTTTTTGATCGTGGGTGCTCTCTGTAGTTAATTCTGCTCATATTGTAGATGTATATGTGTTTGTGATTTGATGTTAGTAGTTTGAGAAACAACAGATCTGGCTCGATGGATGTGATTAGGGGCTATAAACCTGGGGTTTGGAGATATTTTTTGTTCTCTGAAAACTAGATCGTTTGTCAGTGTCCTGTTTGATTATTAGAATATTTTTCTTTAAGATTATAATCACGAAACCTGCCTGGTTCCTTACATGAATGGGTTGACAAGTGCATAGATTTTTTTGTTCTGTTATTCATGAATCAGATATTGGCATGTACAAATTTAAGATGTATATATCATTACAATGTTGATCAGGGTGTTGATCTATTGTTTTGTTAATGAGTATGCACTGACCGCACCTGGTAGGAAAATTTTGTTTATGAATCATGTGGACTTTTTGTTTAGTATTTTGAGGCGTACATTAAAGACATTTGTTTATAAGGGAAATCTTGGAGCCCTAGAAGCTGAATTTGCTTGTTCCAGATTGATTAAGCTGAAGGGGATGTTGTTCAATGTATCAATTAGTAAAACTTTAATCTTGGATCGATTCTGTGCATGTCTTGGAGTGTCTTACAAACCAGTGTTATTCTTGTCAAAGACTTTTGTTGTGTGTCCGTGTATGTTATATTGTATGATATGATGAACTATTCATTTACTTATGTCTCAAATATGTATGAAATGTCTGATTATGTTGTGATAATTTATGAAAGGCTTTGGACAAGATTCGCTTTGAGAGCTTGACCGACAAGAGCAAGCTTGATGCTCAACCTGAACTCTTTATCCACATTATTCCTGACAAGACCAACAATACCTTGACTATCATTGACAGTGGTATCGGTATGACCAAGGCTGGTAAGTTGGAGTAATTTGTGGAAGTACTTGGTGCTTAAACTGCATTACATTGCAACATACTCATCCTGTTTGTGTTAATGCAGATCTGGTGAACAACCTTGGTACAATTGCAAGGTCGGGGACTAAGGAATTTATGGAAGCTCTTGCAGCTGGTGCTGATGTTAGCATGATTGGGCAATTTGGTGTTGGTTTCTATTCAGCTTACTTGGTGGCTGAGAAGGTTATTGTGACAACAAAGCACAACGATGATGAACAGTATGTTTGGGAGTCTCAAGCTGGTGGTTCATTCACTGTCACCAGGGACACTTCTGGGGAGAACCTCGGTAGGGGTACTAAAATGACCCTATATCTCAAGGAGGATCAGCTTGAATATCTGGAAGAGCGCAGGCTCAAGGACCTGATTAAGAAGCACTCGGAGTTCATCAGCTACCCAATCTCTCTTTGGGTTGAGAAGACAATTGAAAAGGAAATCTCTGATGATGAGGATGAAGAGGAGAAGAAAGACGAGGAAGGGAAGGTAGAGGAGGTTGACGAAGAAAAGGAGAAGGAAGAAAAGAAAAAGAAGAAGATCAAGGAAGTCTCTAATGAGTGGTCCTTGGTGAACAAGCAGAAGCCCATATGGATGAGGAAGCCCGAGGAGATCACAAAGGAAGAGTATGCTGCATTCTACAAGAGCCTGACTAATGACTGGGAGGAACATTTGGCTGTGAAGCACTTCTCTGTTGAGGGCCAGCTGGAGTTCAAGGCTGTTCTTTTTGTTCCAAAGAGGGCTCCTTTTGACCTCTTTGACACCAAGAAGAAACCCAACAATATCAAGCTGTATGTTCGCCGAGTGTTCATCATGGACAACTGTGAAGAGTTGATTCCTGAATATTTGAGCTTTGTGAAGGGTATTGTGGATTCTGAGGACCTTCCCCTCAACATCTCCAGAGAAATGTTGCAGCAGAACAAGATCCTTAAGGTTATTCGCAAGAACTTGGTAAAGAAGTGCATTGAGCTATTCTTTGAAATAGCTGAAAACAAGGAAGATTTTGACAAGTTCTACGAAGCCTTCTCAAAGAACATCAAGCTTGGTATCCATGAGGATTCACAGAACAGGTCTAAGTTTGCTGAACTGCTGAGATACCACTCTACAAAAAGTGGTGATGACATGACCAGCTTGAAGGACTATGTGACCAGGATGAAGGAAGGTCAGAATGATATTTACTACATTACTGGGGAGAGCAAGAAGGCTGTTGAGAACTCACCCTTCCTCGAGAAACTGAAGAAGAAGGGCTATGAGGTTCTCTACATGGTTGATGCTATTGATGAGTACTGTATTGGTCAGCTGAAGGAATTTGAGGGTAAGAAGCTTGTTTCTGCTACCAAGGAAGGTCTCAAACTCGATGAAAGCGAGGATGAGAAGAAAAAGAACGAAGAATTGAAGGAGAAATTTGAGGGCCTGTGCAAGGTGATTAAGGATGTACTTGGTGACAAGGTTGAGAAGGTTGTCGTTTCAGACCGTGTTGTGGACTCTCCCTGCTGTTTGGTTACTGGTGAGTATGGCTGGACTGCCAACATGGAAAGAATCATGAAGGCACAAGCACTTCGGGATTCTAGTATGGCTGGATACATGTCTAGCAAGAAGACCATGGAGATAAACCCAGAGAATGCCATCATGGATGAGCTTAGGAAGAGGGCTGATGCGGACAAGAATGACAAGTCTGTCAAGGATTTGGTCCTGTTGCTGTTCGAGACTGCTCTTCTCACCTCGGGTTTCAGTCTCGATGATCCCAACACCTTTGGTAACAGAATTCACAGGATGCTCAAACTTGGTCTCAGCATTGATGAGGATTCCGGGGATGCAGATGTTGACATGCCAGCACTTGAGGATCCTGAAGCTGATGCTGAGGGCAGCAAGATGGAAGAAGTTGATTAAGTTTTTAGTCTGTAGAAGTTCATTTGATATTCTGTCTCCATAATTCTCTTTTACCCTACCTAGAAAATATGACGCATAAGGTGCCGTTTTTGACAATAGTAGTTCCAATGCAATAGATCTTGTTTTGTTGGCTATTGAAGTTCTCTTTCCATCTGCTGTTGATTGTTTTTTGTGAATGAACTTCTTTTGCCTATGTCTAAAACTTGCGCCCACATATCATTTGGAGAAAATTTGCGTATGAGCTTAAAACAAAACCACCCAGTACTTCCATGTTTTATTGACACTTTCCTTTTGCTGCTTGTCTTCTGCGTATGAGTTTGCTCTTTTCTTTAAGTTGCTGAGAATCATAAACCTTGGGGCTGCCTATACCAGCTTTTGCTAGGAAAAATCTAACAGCATACTATGAGAATTTGAGAATACGGATTAATTACCTTTCTAATCTACCACGATAACCAACTTCAAGAGAGAAATTTATTGCAATACCCCAAGAAGTTGAACTTTTCTGGTAAACTTATTGCTGAGCTTAACTGGCAAATGTTCAAATGATTTTCCCTGTGTGCAAGTCGACATGACATGCAATTCCAACTTGTGGATTTTATGGCCTGATTCCAACTTGTAGATGTCTCAATTTGAATGCACATATAATCAAGCAAATCAATTAATAAGGAGCAAATTGAAACTTACAAGGATACATATTCAACATTTATTAAGTGGCAACAAAAATACACAAGCACTACTCTCAGAATGAATAACAAATCATGAAAATGTTGGAACTCAGAATAGATGAGCAAGACTAGTTATATACTTTCACCTTGAGCTGCAGCACTCAAGTAACAAAACTACTTCCGTAAGCAAGTCCGTTTGCCAATTCCATATCAGGTATCCGGGACTCTTGAGTGAAAGACAAAACTCGGGAATGTAGTCGTAATGTCCCTATTTAAGTGAAAATGACATTTGGGTCAATAAGAACGTGCTATCGACAGAACCAGAATGGGCAAAACGTGATTCTAAATGTGCTACTTACTTAAGATACTGAAGGGTCATATTCTTCAGAAGTGAAGGATGTCGCAGGACCAAATTTCTCCACTCTTCCTTATCAATCTTTCCGTCATGTTTAGTATCAGCTTCTTCAAACGTCTGCCCAAATAAAGCAAACATTGGTTAAGCAGTAAAAAGCTAAATCCTGCAGTTGCTACCATCCAACCACGCCTCCCCCTTCCCAAGGAGAAAAGAGGGATTTCGATAAAGATGAACTATAACAAACATGAGAATGCCCAGGTCTTAGCAAACACATAATTAACATTGAATCAGAAACTACTCAACATTAGTCAAATAAACGAGCAAATTCCTAATACAAAATATCTATAAAATACCATTTTGTGGCATAACGCAGGGGAGAGTTGAAAGAAGAGACTCCAACTCAGAAGTTGAATGGTTTCTCAACAACTTCTTACTGACACTATTGGTATCAAACACTGTCGATATCTCGTCTATGGGAGGAACAAAGCTAAAGATGGTTCCATCCTTAATTCCTCCCCATGCTTTAAATCACCAAATTTTCTCTAAGAATATGATGTGGTTCTGAGAAGATAGAAACAGGATGGGCCGAAACTTCAATGAGACGGACAACAAGCCAAATAATCAAGGGAAACTAGTATTGGACAGATCACTTACTAAACATATATAAATAAGAAAACGCTCCTTCAAATGAAAAAATGATCAAAAATAGCATTTAGTTGTAGGTTGTTTAAATACCTTGTCGATTATGCTCTCAATAATTTCATCTGAAAGGTTCATACCAGTCTCAGCAAGGGTAGCAACCACCATTTGCTTCACCTGCATAACAGATGCCGTTATCTTTTTATGTCATAGGAGAAAAGAAGAGAAGTAAGTCAACACATTAAAACAGACTGACGTTTATATCTATAATTAACAACTTCATATTATGAAAGGTTTACCTCCTGCCTCTCAATGAAGCCTTGTTGCTTGAGATCATATAGCTGAAAAGAAACTACAACAGTAATCTACCATTAGAAGCTGATATGCACAAATTGGAGGTAATCGTCGTTATTCATGTAACCAAGTAACATACACCCAATCTTATCGTCGATAGGAGCATTTGGATGGAAAACAGAGAGCGCACGGGCAAACTCCTCAAAACCCAAGAGTCCATTGTGCTTTGTGTCAAACAAGTCAAACACCTGCAATAAAACGTGTCGGAGTAAGAAGAAATGAAGACAATAAAACCTTGTAGTATCATGCGGTAAAGTTAGATAACAATGAAAGGCTAATGTATGTTTGGAGAACAAACCCTATCAGCAAACAAGCTCTCTTTTTTGCTTGTCTTGAATAGCGCCAATTGAAACTCTTCCTGTAACATAGTGAAAGTTTCAAATTAAAAAGCAAAGCATATTAAACATCTATGCTAGAGAAGTAACTAAACTTAGTGATGGCAGCTTCCAAAAATTGTAACGTTATAAAAAAATGTGAGACTAAACCTTGTTGATCAGCCCATCATCAATTACTGCGCTGCTAATCTTCACAAAAAGCTCATAAAGAGCTTCGATCTCACTGACGCTAACTGCAACAAGAAGGAAGATTATACAGGTCCAGTTACGACATTTATGCTAGCAAAGGAAGTCATGAAACTCATACACATGGTAAGAACGTATATTTCAGAAATCTATATTCTAAATCTTTTACGTATTGACCAGTGTCATTGAGGCACACTTAAAATTGAAGGTAGGTGCAATGTAAGTGGATCGCTTCCCTTGTTAGTAGCACTTTAGGGCATGCATCGAGGCGCTAAGGTGTGCGCTTCAACAGCTACGGACCCAGTTTTGAAGAAGGCAGGACTAAACAAGTAATATATTTGGTATTTGGTAAAGTCATACATATTATTAAGGAAATTATGGATGATTATGACAATGTATATGAAACTAGAATTATAACATGAAAGGCTAGTTACTAAATTGAATTATAAACAGAAAACTAGTTATAAATTTGCAAATGAATCAAAATTCATATGGTTTTATATATTTCATTAATTTCCATTCTTTTAATCCTTTCTTCATTGAAGCACACACTTAAATTACACTTTGCACTAGCTGCTTTTCTGTGTTTTTTTCCCGCCTTTGACAACATTGGCATTGACAAGCATTAAAAGAGAACGGAACATAATAAATTGTGAAAATAGAGAAAGTTATAATTGTAATGATCTTCAAAATCAAAATCATATTTCCCGGATGAGGTAATCATTAAATAAGACAAACCTAGAACCAGATAAACATCGAATTTGTTTTCATCCTCCATGATTTCATTTTACATTCTACAAATAGCGGATAAATCTATATAGATAGGTGTGTCCAGATAGCATACAAACTGTCTCTCGTGCAAGAATCTCGGGATCTTCAAGGCCCGTTGATTGCCTATCACAACAGTGCAACAGGGAAGCACCTAAATGCTTGATCCCCTCTAAACAATGCGACATGGTATTTCCCGACTTCAAAGTTCTCCATAGCTGTTCAACCAAAAAAAATGAAGGTTCGGAAGCGGGAGGAGGAGAAGGAAGCCACTTTAATTGGCTCTAAGAAATCGTTGAGAAGCAGACAAACAGGAAAATTGAACAAACCTCGTGACCATTCTTTGCTATTTTTGACTATGTGAATGTAAAATGCCAAAAGTTCTCGAAGTTTGGAGCTATACACCTGACAAGGAACCCATGTCATCAATTAATAGCGTACGTAGGATTTTTTGTAAGAGGTATCAACATTGGAAGAAGTGAATAAATGAATAAAATTACTATAATGATAAGCGGTGTTATTTTCTACATTTATAGC